ATATTCTATTCATATTGATGTTTTAACAGATTTCAAAGTACAAATCATTCATAAGGTCTTAATTCCATCACATTGATGTACTAAAAATTCTGTCAAATTCACTTTCTACACTTACGCCTGTGACTTCTAGTAGGGCACAGGCCGCCGACCAGCATTCTTTAACGTACTCTGTCCTGGACCTCTTATCCTAGTTCTATCCAATTGTTATCCATTCTTTTCATGTCTGTTTCGGCGTAATGTGTTTTTATGGTTTTCCTCTGTTCCTATGGTTTTTGCGGTTCCAAGTTAAAGGCTGCCTTGTGACACAGTTGGGTGCTTTCCTCAATGTGTGCCCTATCCCCCACCTCCAGCGATTCTTCCCGCTCTAGAATCTGGTTTGTTCTCTGGCACATAAGGGGATTGCTGCTGATAGTATCCGGTCAACAGATCTGAAGTATTGTGCCGTAGATAACTGTTAATAAACACTTGTGTCTTCTGGATAATGGCTTTCGTAGTTCTTAAAGTTTCCGCCCCATAATGTATTATAAATTTTGTAAAATTCACTTCCTACAACATACTATAAAAATATATTGTTTTGTTGTTCTTTGCGAATATTTCTCTTAGGTGAAACAATTTTTACATGTTTGTCGTGTAGCCAGTTTTTGTAGGCAAATGAAAGCTTTGATGGTAAAAGTACGTGAACATTCAGAATGGATTGTTAAATGTCGAAGACGTATTCGTAATTTAGCTAGTAGAAATGAAATCGTAAGTAAAGTGACATTCAATTGTTCAATCTGATCATTTTCATAAATTATTGATGTTTTAACTGTTTTTTTATGCGGTCATTTTAATTTTAAAAACTAACTTAATTGTTGTTACCAATGAAATCTAGGATGTGCGTTTTGTTTTACTTGGGACTCATCAGATGGGTTGTACATAGACGGTAATGTAGGAAAAAGCCAAGTTCTAGAACACAGGTTGTTTATGAAATATGTACTGTGTTTTGCAATCCAAGCTGGTTAAAGATTACCTCATTTCACTTCCCTTTTGATCTCTAAAGTATTCTGAACACGGCATGCTTTTGACCTCTTGAAACTCTTGTCTTTTTGCTGTCGTCTGTACCGACTTTCAGGCGACGTTCTACCACATACTACTTATAAGCAATCTAGTGAGTAGCGTCGTCCAGTACACTAATAGTGTTGCCCTTATTGGAAACGCTATATAATTTATCATGAATGATTATATTGAAGCGATCTGCACGGAATGCACATGTTGCAAGAACAATTTGATCACAATTCAGTCCTCATTACCATCATCAGAAATTGGGTTATGAAAATGTTTGAGTTTCATTGAAGTCTTAAATCGATCAATTTTAAACTACCATCGGCCACCTGGAAGCATTAGATAACCATTTCGTCATAGTTTAAGTAATCGTCACCAGTGCCTATTCACGACCCTGCAAATTGGTTGGATAGAAGCCAGTTTTTACTAACATACGTCACTTATGGCGTAGGCGATTTATCCGTCTACTAACCAAAAGACGAGCCCACTGCTCAACAGTTCATTGCAAGTCAGCTAGCTACAACGTAGAACTCTGTACCTATGTACATCAGTTCAAGTTGCCATACTACATTAGCACAAACAGAACGAATTGTCAAATCCAAACCCCATGATAGTAGAAGTATTGGCCGTTAATTTATAAAGATCAGTGATCAAAGATATCAACTCGAGAAGTATGTCCCAGTGAAAAAAAATTTTGGAAAAGGAGAGAAAAATCGTCCATATGAAATTCAAAAGTCTAGAATTTGAGAATTGAAAAACAATGCTTGCTCGTGTGTCTAAAAAAACCATCAAGTAAGCAGTGATGGTATTAGGTGGCAAGAAAGGATGGCATATCAATTAATAAAGTTGTGAATCTTCATCAGTTGAAGTGGTTCGGACATGTGTTACGTATGCCCAACCACCAACTGCCTCGACGAACCGTGTTGTCTGTTGTAGGAGTAGGTTGAAAGGAAGCTAGGGGTGGTCAAATCAAACTATACCACCAGTCCATCAAGTCACTGACAACTGGATTGAGCCATGTTCACAGGTGTGTAGGTTACCTGATCGGGGTCCTCGAGACAATAATAACTAATAGTTAGAGACTTTGAATAGCATGGCTCAAAATCATTTGAAGTGGTGCAGATTTATCCATTCCTTGTCATCTGTCAGATTCTAATTTTCTAAGTACCCCTTTTGGTAAACCTATTTTACTGGTTTATATCTTTTCGAATCTCATCCTCGTTCTTTAATCTTTTCTATTACTACTAATACAGCTACTACTCCAGAATTTGAACTGACAATTCTATCTCTTAGTGCTTATGTTACACGGCAACTTGAACTGATGTATGAAGTGTTATGAATGCACGTAAACATGTCAATTTGATATACCCGAGTTATTACGAGTTTACCTTAGTCGGATACGAGAGCGAGGATCCGGCGACACGACATGCTACTCTAATCCGAGCTTCCTAACCCCACATTGAGTAAAAGAAGAAGACTTGGTATGAATTAGAAAGTGTATTCTACAAGCATTCAGATAGTACGAGGTTCAAGTCTAGAAGAGGATAAGGATCTCGGACTATGGATCCAGGTCTGGATCATAAAACGTTACAGATAATGCGTATGTATACAGGTAGGTCAAATCGAAAACAACTTTAAAGTCTGTGACACTGACAGTTAGGACTACCAATAAGAAACAACATTTGAGCGGAAATTGATAGTCAGGACGACCGATAGGAATTAACAAATAGGATTAAACTTACAAATAATTCTTTTAGGATATTGAATGAATAAATATATTCTAACAGCAAGTTTATAAAATTTAATTTATATCTGTATTTCTTTTTTTCATATTTAAGTTTGTTTTGTTTTGATTGATATTTTTCACTAGTTAAACATTGAATCAACATGTACTCTTGTTGATAATTCAAATAAACTTTTACCATTTTGGAAATTCTATGTACAACATAAACAAATTCGTTTTAATGAATTAAATCGATTAACTGAGAGTAATAAAAAAGAAGTGAGTTCATTTTATTTCTTATCTGTGTAAATTTTTCCGATGATGCTTGTTAAGTTGAGTTGAGAGTTCAACCCTGTCGGGTGTAGGCAATAACTACTAAAGAAAAATGGGTAGGGTCGCGCGTAGATTGATCGGAGTTAAAGATTAACACTGTTGAATGACCGGCCCAGTGATCCAGAGGTAAGGCGTTCTCGCGCAAGATCGAAGGCCCTGGGTTTGAATCTTGTGACGTGCAGGATTCGTGGATGCGCACTGCCACTGATGAGTCCCATACCAGGATGAAACGGGCATCCAGTGCTTCCAGGTTTCTAACGGTGGTCTAACAATGATTGATTGATGATTTCAATGTGCAAAAAACACCAATCTCCATAACTCTAATTGAAAAATAGGTAGTATTTAAGTCAAGTTAATGAAACTGTTTGATAAACACAGGACTTGATTTAAGACAGAATTGCTCAGTGGTTAACAAGCATGTTTCGTTTTGTTTATGGCTCGCCAACCGGATTAACTGGCTTTCCTCAGTTGATGTTCACTGTGATACTCCAACCCGGTACTGTTCGCCTCAAACTCCTCATCATCTCCTTCATTTAAATAAGTTCAGATAGTCATTAAGTTGTCCAGAGGGACAAAGCCTAATACATTAGTTAGAATTTTCTTATATATATATATTTAGGGCTACAATTGACCAGTCACTTTTTGTATATACTCATTCTGTGTGGATTGTCATTAGGATACAAGCATTATAAGCAAAGTTAGTTGGTGGCTAGTAGTGTAATTCACAACGCGCGTTCACCCCAATACACAAGCCATTGGTTATCTAAACTCAGTAACTATGTGCATAATACGGTGGCGTTTGAGGCAAACAATACTGGGTTCAAGTCACGAGATGGACATCAACTCTGAGATGTGGCAGGTACATTCAGTTTACGCGTATGATGAAATCAGTCAGTTAGTGATCAACAACCTAGAACTTCGTACGTACGTACGCACGTACATTAGTTCAAGTTGATATAACACATTAACACACAGATGCAATTGTCGATTCAAATCACATAGTAGTAGAGGTAGTAGAAGTATCAGCCAAAGTATACTTCAGTGTGGCAGATTCAAAAAGAGGAAAAAGTTCTTGAGAAATTTAGATTAGAATTCACGAAAAGACAAAGAACGGATACACCTGCACCATCACGAACAATTTTGAGCCATGTCATTCAAGGTCTCCAACTATCGATAACCACAACCAGTTATTTTACACGTGCCAACATGGTGCAGTCCACTGTCGGTGACTTCATAGATTAATATCATGTTTTAGTTTGCCCGCCCCTAGCTTCGTCCAACCTACTCCGACACCACTAAACATAGCTCGTCAAGACAGTCGGTGGTTAGGAGTATGCAAAACATGTCCAAACCATCTTAAATGATAAAGATTTAGTACTTCTATTGACTTGCCATCCTTACCTAGTACCCGTTTCCTAACAACAGCAGTGCTAACTTAGTTGCTCCTGGATAAACGAGCAACACTTCGGAGACACCTATGATCAAAAACCGGTACCCTACGAATATCTTCTACCGTGACTGCCCATGTTTCACAACTATAAAGTAGGAGGGAGTGAACTGTTGCACAGTTAACTCGTCCTTTGGTTAGTAGACGAATATCTCGCCTACGCCATAAATGACGCAAGTTTTCAAAAGCTAACCGAGTCTTCTGTATCCGTGCTAAGATTTTATCACACTAATTGTATAATACTAATGTTATGAACTCAGACAAATGATTGGACTGTGATATGTCGTCTATTTAATTGCTAATCTAATATAACTCTCTCTTCACACTCATACACTCCTAATCTCACTTAGTTTCGTGTCAAACATTGACAGACTTTACAGTTAATATGTTACAAAGTCAATTCAGAGTATTTCAGAATTTCATTGAAACAATATATAAGTCGTTAAAAATAGTCATTCCAGAATGATAAAATATTTTTCAAAATGGACTTTATCCAACTGTTATAACCTTCTTATGTTATCCTCTTTTCTTACAGTTTTTGTGTTCTTTCTGAAGATTGAGTATAGTATGTGACAGAAAAATACTTAAGGTTATTTATCTTGTATGCGTAACTAATCTAACATTCTGAGTAGGTGTTACCAGTCTGACTCGAGATCTCTCTGCTGGATATAACCGTTCCCTGCGAGGCCAGATAGTCGCCACTCACTCCTATGAACGTATTTGCTATCAGAGTCCGTTTCTCATGCGTTAAATGCATACCACTGGTGATCAAACTTTCTCTGAAACAATTCATTACGTGCATGTAGTCAGGAACACTCTATTTCCACCCATAATTTTTTTCCTTAACTAATTTACTCCTCGATTTTTGGTTTTTTTTATGTTTCTTTTGTGCAAACCCCCGAGCACACCCTTCACATATACGTACAGCTACACATAGATCGATGCCCCTACACTTCGTATGCGTATGCGCATACACATCTGATTCAAGGTTTCAACGTCGAATAACTCTTTATCAATCACTATGTTGGAGTAGGTGATCAGTTCAATCTCCACTGATTGTACAAACAGGGTTACTCTCATTACCTAACCATCACAATAAGGCCTTAGGTTAGATTTTGCAATCACTACACCATCATATACTACTATCTAATTATTTTTCTGGTTAGTGTTGGTTTTTAAGCGAGTTGGATTTTTACGGAATAGAGTCGCTAACCCCATCCATGCCAACCCTCCTCTTATATCCGGGTGTCGAACCGGCAGTAAGTAAGTATAACCTTAGAAGACCTGCAGACAGTGTTATTTTCACTAAAAAATTATATCTACAAATACTTTTCCATTCACTATTAAAAATTGTTAATATTTTTTTATTCTTTAGCCTATCCCAACTACAGATACTAATTCAAATAAAATGAAATCTGACACAGACGATGATTCCAATTCTGATTCAGATCATACTGATTCATCTTATGATATTGATGATGGTAAAACAATTACACACGTGTCAAAATCGAAACTGAAACAAAATGGCAAAAAGCTTAATAAAACAAAAGTAAATGACGACGCTGCAATGATCAATGTGAAGAATAAGGCAACTGATAGCAAATCTTTACCGGATAATGCTGATCAAATTGATGAGGATGGGGATGAGGATGATGGTGATGAGAGTGACTTTGATTTAGAAGCTGCTCTAATGGATAATGATGATGATGATGATAATAAGAGTGTGAATAATGTGGATTTAGACGAGTTACCAGATTTTGAATTAGATGGTGAATCTTCCACGGATGATGATGATGATGCATACAATGATTTGGAGGAGGATGATGATGATGACCCACAGAATATCGATAAAAATTCCGATATTGAAATGATTGATTTATCAAAATTGTCTAAAATATTTCAGAAAAACAAACTACCACCACAACAAAAAATCAAAACAACCGCAGTCAAAAAAGTTCACAAACCTTTCATGTTGAAAATGAAAAAATCCACTGGAAAATTTAAAAAAAAATCCAAAGTTGTCTATGAAACCTCAATAAAATTATCAAAACGCAATAAAACAAACAAGAAAATTGCAAAAAATGATTAATTTTATCAATGAAACGAAAGATGATAATTTAACTATTGTGATATAAAATAACTGTGTACATAAAAGAAATCTTTTTTTTTTGTCTTGATAAGATTTTATCTTCTTTCTCGGTAGTGAGTGTTTTAAAACACTTATTATTTGCTATCAAGTCAAAGTATATACTCTTACTTACGTGTAGTTCTTGGTCTATGCTATGTGCTATGTTTCGTGCCTTATTATTAGAGGATGTCATCATGTACCATAATTGTTCACGGCATTGTCAACATTCTGTTTTGATCAAATTAGCTCTAGTATACTTAATCTATCAATGCGTTATACGGTTCATTCTATTGGGTTCGTCAGTAAGTATGCTTGAGGCTATTACGAGTCGATAAACGCGAACGAGACAATGAACCTTGAATCCCTAAAATAGAGTAAGAAGGCTTTGTAATTGTAGACAGTTTATTCTACCAACACCCAGCAATCACACAATACAATCAAGCACATACAACTCTCGTTTATTTATACAGCATAGAAACGTCTTTGGGACAGTCACCAAAAAATAGCACACTAAAATACACAGCAGCCATGGAATTTCCTGGTGGGAATTGAAATCTCAAAGTCAACTGATCAGCCAGCCCATGCTGGGAAACGTGAAAACCAAAATAAGGCATTTATCAAGCGAATTTTGGGGATCTAACATTATGAATATACGAACTTATGGTTGTTCATTGTCGATATCCGCTTAAGATTGTAGAGAAAATATTGATAACTGAAAAGGATCTTGGTGTGATGTTTAAATCACTGAGCTGAATGATTTTGTTGCAGAGTTTCGATTGTCTACTCAGACATGATCAGTACATGCTCACATTTTCAAGTATGTATGAGTAATGTTGTCCAGAAATCCATTGAAATGTCCGCTAGTAAACAGCTTAAGCTGTTAGATATAAGTATGTTCAACTAGGTTTATGAATCTGTTGAAACCATATAGTTGATGAACTTTGATTTGTTGTAATGCTGCTTAACAAGCATGTAGTCAGTTTTCTATGGAAGTATTGGTTGGATCCGTTGGTCTTTGCGAGGAATAGATCGTTCGCTCATCTTTAGTAAGTACAACCGTCTCAACATCTCCCAATCTTATCACATCATCTGGTTCCGTTTTAATATCCCGGTTTTTTATTTCTTAGTCTTGTTTCCCTCCCATTCAACGATGGTTAACTATCAGTGTACTATTTAACAATGACTGATTATGCCATGTTTGTTAGTAGTTTCTTATTATATATCCACTGGATAATCTAAGAATAAATACTTCCGATGAAAAATCAACATCGTGTATACACATCAAACGAACTGAACAACAGTAATCAAGAATTTATCAGACGGAATAATATGCAACGTCCCATACAATAACAACCTTTACAATGGTCCATTAAAAGAAATGATAAACTATCACGGCAGATAAAGCTGGAAAACCGGATCTAATTAGTTATTGACCGAGTCAAAGCTTTCATTGAAGGTGACGATAAGCGCAAATCTTCCGAAAACCACCAAAACGCGAGTCCAGTAACGCATAGATATATATAATCAAGGAGTCAGATGACCGTGACGATATATATATATATATATATAGCTACGATATTAAATGATAATTTCTTCATCATTTTATCTGTACACTGAGAATTTTAAATTAACTATTATCGAATTTGAAATACTTTGTGTATTCTGATGTCAAAGTGTATAACCTCATAAAAAATAGACAAATTTCTATCATTATTTCACTTCACTAACTCAAGCTTAAACGAATTGGTAATAAATTATGCAATAGCTTTATCTTATACCTTTGTTTCGTAACTCTTGACATCCTGTTTTCTTTTGAGATTTTCTTCGCAAGCACTGTTTTGTACCTTTGTTTTCTTGAAGGCTACTATATCACCTCACATACATTTTGTACTTTTATGTTTTGGCTTTTCTTACTGCCTACGCGCATATTCAGTCTGCTAGCTTTCATGATTAATTGTTTAAATAATTCGATGTCATTATCAACTAACTTTAAATTTCTAATAAACTCGATGTTTGTATTTATCGTTATCGATTTTAAATAATAAAGTGAATTGTAACGACGATATGCGTTTTAAAAATAACAGTTGCCAGGACGACATATGAGGTTTAGAAATACATCGAATACCCAATGCCACACATTGCTTATGATATGTAGGACTAGAGTCTTCAGTTTTCTGTCCCCGATACTGATCATTTCGGTAGCAATGCCACCACGTCCGATGTGCTTGCGATATTACATCTTTCTAGTCAGGTCAGACTCTTTTGAGTTTCTTAGTTTGTGGCTGTAGAAATTTCAGAGTCTAATAGTGACTGAAGGTGCTGGAGTAGAGTACAGTCTCTCCTCTGTGTACCTTTGCCGACGTATTTAAAAGCAATTATGTTTTTTGAGATGACAAATATATCGTCCTATTTAGTGAAAATTGATCTTGAGTGTACATGGTAGAATTATACTTTTTGATCGAAGGCTGTGGTTAGCAGAGAAAAACAGGATGGTGAGAGCATCTGTACGTTCACTCCCAACGGAAGTGACGATGAACTGGCACAGAATAACAATACATTTTGGATACAGACACATTTGCATATACATCATTGAAACTAGGCGTGCTGTGGTATTTTATTCTGATTACAATGATTATTAGATTCACATGTCAATACAATCCAGCGCCACTTTTGATTATGAAGGTTAGAGGATATCTAACTCTGTGGGTTTTGAATGTGCATGGTCTAAACAAACAAATGGCAGCCGAACGAATTATAAATGATGGTTAGGACCTATTTGCTCGTAATGAAACTGAATACAGTGATTTTATTCAGCAGGTAGCACTCAAATCAATTGCTGCCGCTGGAATGAACTACCATTAAAGAAACTGCAAATAAATTGGGCTTGGTGTTATGAATTTCGACACGTTCAAATGAGGAGAGAGGCTAAAGTATACAGCGGGATAAATTCCTATTAATATTCAGAGATTGGAGGGTATTCAGATACCCAACTAACTTCACCGTTAGTATTACCGTTAATTTTTCATTCTTTTTTGTCAGCAGGTTCTAATCCTGCGGTCACAGAATAAAGGTAGAATTAATATTCAACTGGTTGTTTCAGTAAAATACTGGGATAGAGATGGTATTGTAAACGAGTCTAAGGATCGGCAAATATGGGTGGATAACCTGAATATCACTGCATACTTGCCTTAGCTGTTGTAACAAAGAGTCTGGTACGATAAATGTTTGGTATATCTGCGGACTATCAGTTGTTTACTTGACCAAAAAGTAAGCTGTTAGATATCCTTGTAGTGGCGTGAACCGAGATTGATAAATATTACCACTACAGACCCATTACATTGCCGTCACAAGGAAAAGACGTTGATCCATACTTACTTACGCCTGTTATCCCCAATGGAGCATAGGCCGCCCACCAGTTTTCTCCAACCAACTCTGTCCTGGGCTTCTCTCTCCAGTTCTGTCCAATGTTTGTTCATTCCTCTCATATCTTTCTCTGTTTCTCGGCGTAGTGTGTTCTTTGGCCTTCCTCTTTTCCTTTTGCCTTGAGGGTTCCATGTGAGGGCTTGTCTCGTGATGCAGTTAGGTGCTTTCCGCAATTTGTGTCCTATCCACTTCCACCGCTTCTTCCTGATTTCCTCCTCCACTGGAATCTGACTTATTCTCTCCCACAGTTCGTTGTTGCTGATGGTGTCTGGCCAACGAATCCGAAGTATTTTGCGTAGACAACTGTTCACAAATAATTGTATCTTCTGGATGATGGATTTCGTAGTTCTCCAAGTTTCCGCGTCATACAGTAGAACTGTCTTCACATTTGTATTGAAAATCCTGATTTTGGTTTTGGTTGAAAGTTGTTCGGAGTTCCAGATATTTTTCAACTGTAGAAATGCAGCCCTTGCTTTGTCAATCTGCGCCCTCACATCTGCATCGGATCCACCTTGATTGTCGATGATGCTGCCCAGATATGTAAAGGTGTTAACGTCCTCCAAGGTATCTGCATCAAGAGTGATTTGGTTGATGCATTTGTGTTGCGTCGGAGAATTTCGCTTTTTCCTTTATGTATGTTGAGACCTACTGCTGCAGAGGCTGCTGCTACACTGGTCGTCTTCTCTTCCCTTTGTTGTTGCGTGTGAGATAGAAGAGCCAGGTCATCTGCGAAGTCCAGATCGTCCAGTTGCGTCCTAACTGTCCAGTTTATACCATGCCTCCATCCAGATATCGACATCTTCATAATCCGGTCGATCACCAGGAGAAAGAGAAAGGGTGAGAGTAAGCAACCTTGTCTGACACCGGTCTTCACCTCAAAAGAGTCTCTTAGCTGTCCTCCGTGTACGATTTTGCAGTTGAATCCATCATAAGAATTGAGTATGATGTTAAATATATTCTCAGGCACACCGTAGTGTTGAAGAAGCCTCCACAGTGATGAGTTCCATTCAATTGATTGTTCCACAATGATCCTTAATGTAGCAATTTGGTCAGTACACGATCGATCCTTACGAAATCCGGCCTGTTGATCTTGAAGGTTGGCGTCTACGAAGTCGTTCATTCCGTTTAACAATACCTTGTTAAATACTTTGCTGGTATTGAGAGAAGAGTGATGCCTCTGTAGTTCTCACACTTGCTAAGATCGCCTTCGTCTGGTATTTTGATCAAGTATCCTTCTTTCCAATCTGATGGTACTTGTTCCTCATCCCAAATCTTCTTGAAGAGAATGTGAAATATTTTCGCAGTTGCTTCTACATCTGCTTTCATTGCCTCTGCTGGAATGTTGTCTGGTCCTGCAGCTTTGCCGCTCTTGATTTGTCTGATGGCCATACTGATCTCCTCAATCGTAGGTGCGCCATTATTAACTGGGATGTCCGTGGATGGTGCTTCGATGTCCGGTGTGTTCAGTGGAGCTGGTCGATTCAAGAGTTCCTTAAAGTGCTCTACCCGCCTATTTCTCTGTTCTTCAGTGTTGTTGATTACTTTGCCTTCTTTGCTTTTCATTGATCGTTCTGGTTTACGATAGTTTCCGGCG